TCAGCATAAACCAATCAGTGTGAGTTGGGGTGTCAAGCTCTAAAAGAAATTGGCATTGGGTAGCCATGGTTCAGCCGATCAAAAGTTTCCAACAAACAACCGTATACCGACGCCAGGGCCCACCTTGTCAAGTTTAACAAAATGCACAGCGCTGAGATGGACAAAAAGGAGGAGGAAGCAGCCCGTGAGGTGATCGCAGCCACCTTCAAGCAGCTGAGCGCTCAGCTGGACCATGACATGTCCATTCTTGAGCAGAAGGTTCTTAAGTCCAAAGCTCAAGAGGCAGCAGCTGCAGTGCAAGATGCAAAGTTTCTCAGAGATCGGCAGCAGTCCCTCAGCTTTGCCTAAGATTTGTTCCACGTTTCGTGCTCGTCCTTGGGTGTTCTGTAGCGCTGTTCCATGATTCTTTGTTGACCAAAACGCGATGAGGAAGGGGACAAAGTGGGTACAAAGCTGGATGGAACAGCACTGTGTCCTGGTCGAAACGGATGAGAAGCTGTCTCTGGCAATGAGTGAGTTTGCGACATTTACCTCGAAGTTCCAAAACTCTTCAGGGAGGAGGTCACTTGGCAGTGCGTTAGGGTGAGACTTGATGTTAAGGATTGTGATGATCGTGAATACCAATGAAGCAAAGCATGGCTCTTTAGCTTTTTTCAATTTTATTTAACCCTAGGTACACTGTGGTGGGCTTGGACACAACATTGTGGCCGAGCAACGCTGCCTACTTGGGAGCTGCTGTGAATGCCACTTGCAGCATCGTCAACATGTCACAGGACAACATTTGTCACTGTCAGCTTCCCCAACTTCAGAGTTCGACCAATGCCGCCACAGTCCTGAAGCACAAGAGGACCCTGGAGGACAACCTCATCGGCCAAAAACTCGATGTTGGGAACATGGTGGTTCTCAGGTTCACCAAGCCAGAGTCGCAAAGGAATGATTCCAGAAAGCCATCCCAAGCTTGCATTGCAGCGCACAGTGCCAACTTCAAGGTAAGCAGCTTTTGCGAGTCGGACCCCATCCGGTCATCTACGATTGGACCAGCTCCACTCATCAAGACTTCCCAAATGCTCGGCTATGATATGGAGGATGGCAGCATGAGCGCTGGCTTGAGAACCGAGCAGAGTCTTGCCCGGCCCAAGAGCAGATTTTGGGTTCCAAGGTAGTAGGTTTGACCCCTCCAAAGAAAACTCACCTATGCAGCGCAATTTTGTTTTGGTTCGCGATGTGTCTATCGAGGAAAGGGTTGCCGATCCATGTGGAAATTTTGAAGTCCTACGCAAATGGCCTTGGCTTGCGCGATGCTGACCACTATCTGTGGGTTGACATCATCCCCAACAGGTGGGAAGGGCTTGGGAGGCAGCGTAATCTTTAATTTGCGAACTCAATCTACTTTGGACCGCTGTAAATGGTTCCATGGTGAAAATTAGAAGGTTTTTGTTGAGTTCATCCAATGTTTGGATCAGGCACTGTGAGTTTGCTCGTGCTGCGGCGGAGTGCATTTTGGACAAGACCCTCCCACAGCTTCGTTACATAGGCTTTGTGAAGAAGGAGTTCTTAGCTAAAGTGCAGGAGGCAATCTCGGCTACTGTGTATCAACACTGGGATGATAGCACGGAGTCGGGACCAAAGACCCGCCCACAGGAAGCTGAGAGCAGTGAGCCACTTGGGTTCAAGGTTCTCAGCATGTCCGCTAATGGTGACATCACGTGGCCAGACTCCGTGACAACACGATTCCCTCCAGACACCTCTGAGTTCAAGGCTCTTGACGCCAAGCGCCAGAAGTTCTTGGAGCTATGTCCTGCGCACGGCACACCAGCCCAAGTCGGGGAGGCAAGTGTTTCAAGGTCATCTGCGAGACCAGACTACAGCATTGACAATGGTGCGGAGCCTTTGGATACAACCCGCTTGTTGGACTTGCCCGGCGTGCCAACTGCTGAGTTTACAGCCCAGAGGCAAGGTCGTTGAAAACACGGTGATAATGTTTAAATAGAATTGGGGACATGGGCCTTCCTAGTTATAGGACAGGAATGATTCAGTGGTCTTTGAAAATCATGTCAATGAGTGGTATGTGTGACCTGCATCTTTGAAACATCATCCCTATCAAAAATCTATGCAACGCCTGGCAGGCTTGCGACGTGCCCTGGAAAGGGCGACCGTCCCTCTGTGGTAGTGACTACTGACTTCAAGCTTTGGATTGGGAACGAGGGAGATGACATGCTGAAGGTGGCACCATTTCCAATCCTTGGTTTTGGGCTTGGTGAATTTGAGGAGAAATGCGTTGGAGGCCATTTGTTTCCTGCTAGCTGCTAGTTCCTCACCATGATGTTGTGGCTTAGGACCTTTTGGAAACAATTTTTCGTTTCAGGCCCTGCGTCTGAGCACTACAAGAAGTTTGTAGTTTGGAGGCTGTCGGATGACAAGGAGCTTGTTTGCTTGGATGGAAAGCTTACACCACTTTGCTCTGTGCTAGAGCAAATGTCTTCAAAGCATGGCTTGGTCGATGTACAACTTCTAGACCACATGTTGACCCAGAAAATGCGACCGGTGTCCTGTTTGCGTTTTGCTTGTGCAAAATACGGTGCTGTTCATTTTCTCAGGCTCCCAGCCCCCCGATCTCCTCTTTTCCCAAGGCAGTTGATGGAGAGGAGACCATGCCTGCACCATTTCGGTACAACGTGCAGCCGGCACCCGGAGAAAAAACAAACTGTTTGAAACCAAACAATTTTGATGTTCAAGATCCTCTGAATGTGAAGCACCAAATCCTTGGACAAGCGTACCACGGGAACTTCGACAAGCTCTGCAATAACAAGCGGGCTGGAGTGGTTTGGGAAGCCCCTCAACCAATTCTCAAGCTTGTTTTGGATTCTTTCTTTCTGTTTGAGCCAAATAGTGTGGAACCTTTCAACATCTTTCAACAAAGGTCCCAGAACCCCCTTGGGGCCCTTGTCAAAATCCTAGGTGAACATGGGCACTGGTGTGCCTCCCAAAGTGATGCCGGTAAAGCCAAAACTCTGGCTACTTTGCAACTTGGAGATGGCTGGAAAAACTTGGTACCAGCTCACCTCTTGCGCATAGATGGTAGCCATTTTGCTAGCTGGGCCCGTGAACGACTTTCCGTGGAAAGTTTAGAGCAAGTGCTTGACTCATAGATGGGCACTTCCTGTTTCCAGGCTTAAACTCAATTGAATGTAACTGGACCAGTAGCATGTCACATGTCTATACACGGCAGGTAGCATCCAAAGAGTCAAGACAACCTCGACGCACGCTGTCACTCAGGGGTGGACAAAAAAGAGAGCACCAGGGTCACCAAAGTCCAAATTTGTCATAATGAACTCGCAGTTGGATGGAGTGGGCTAGTCCAAAGTTGCCTGCTCTTCCCGTTCCCAGATCAAGCGGCGGGACTGAAACATCTTTCAGTCAGTTTTGCTGGCCTCATCATTTGCGGCCATCACCATGCCATGCCTACCACGTGTCGCAGAGATCACCGAGAGCGAAGAAGAGGAGACCGGGGCACTGGAGCATCCATCCTTCAATGTAGTCGTATATAAATGCAACTTTTCAGGGATTAGGTATTTCTTTTCCTCAATGACTCAGTCAGATGACCAAAGTTTCTGCAGGAGCCGGATGCTGGAAGACAAACCGGTAAACCAAATTCAACTCCGAAACCAAAAGCGAAGCCGAAAGTGAAAGGGAAGGTGAAAAAGGAAAAACCTACCACTGCCGAGCCCAGTTCAAGCAAGAATGTGACTGCGACAGGTTCCAACGAGCCTCGTCGTCGTACTGGTCGTGCCAAGGCCAAGGCCAAGGCAAAGGTTCAGCCTAAGCGCAAAGCCAAGGCCAACAAGAAAGCTGAACCTGAGAAAGCCGCTTCAGAAACACCTGATAATACCAAGAAGGAACCTGAAAAAGAAAAACCACCAAGAAAGCGACCAGCAGCCTCTGGAGGCACGCTCTAGTGTCATTGAACAAGCATGTTGTCTCATCATCCCCATCTTACATGTTGTGATTGGATGTTATTGGCCCGGAGGTGGGAGCAAGATCGGGAACCCGTACTGCTACACCAATGGCACTTGGGCCTTCAAAGTCGATGGCAGCGAAGCGGTCCGAGCAACTCGGCTGGTGTTCTCGAGTTTTGGCATTCGGGGTACTGGTGGATGCTGGTGGCATGCATTTTTTTTGCCTCATATAAGGTTGGTGGTTCGAAGTACGACAAGGATGCGGTCAAAGAGATAATCGCCTCCTACTCAGTGGCTTTGCCATTTCTCTTCTAAGTCTCCTCAACCTCCTCTTATGCACAAAAGACATTTATTGTTCCCTAGTGGGGTTCCTTGGGTTGCAAGGATGCGGCACATGCTGAAGTCGTCAAGGGTGGATCAATTCAAGATGCCAAGAACCTTTCCGCGACTTGGCTAGACTAGGCAAAATACAACTTGCTGAATCGGCTCCTAGGTCCAAGTACCAAAATTCATGGATTGTTCTTTCGTGCTCTTTCGCAAGGTGATGATGTTGGAGAAGCTAGATGGTGGCAACAAGCCATGTGCCAAAGTGCTTCCCAGGAAGGAGACGCTGGATCTGATGATCCCACCACCACCAACCCCTGAAGATGAGAAGGGTGGAGACCAAACGAAGGAGGGTGCCGATGAGGCCGATGAGCCTGATCAGGGGGGAGAATGCGGAAGAAGAGGAGGTGGAAGATGATCCTGAAGAGATCTGCTAGGAACATAATAGATTCGCTGAGGCTCCCTGCGGAAAAAATCTCACGCGGCCGCTGCGCTGCGGCAGTGCTGCTGCTCTGGGGGTGGTTTGGATGGAGGGCTCTCTGTGAGGCTTTAAGAGAGGGTTTTCGGTCTAAATTTAAGATGTACACTTCAGTGGCCTGAATCAAATCAGTGGCCTGATTAGCATGAAAATGTTTTAGACATAGACCTATGTTCACCACCCAAAACCTTCCGGGCAGGTTCGCCCAAACATTGCATGTCTGCGTCTACCCGCATGTCGAGGATTTCGAGAAGAGTGTTGGAAGCTGCGCCGCTCGGTGGTACGAAGCGATTGGAGGAACCGCGGTACGAAATGCCGAGATGAGCCGAGATGAGCCGAGAGCCTTCACCCAAATCCCCCACATGGTTTTTGAGAATGTATTTCCAGAGCGTTGTATTCTAGAAATTCATCCAAGTATTCAAGAATTTTGTGTCATACTCCTAGAGTCCATTTATAATACTTGACCATGGTTTTTAGTACTGTAGTAGCGGTAGTAGGAAGTTTGAGCATATTTTGGGTGGTGAACAAAATGGGACTATGCATTGTGTGTTTCGCATGACCTGTGACGGTCACTAAAATATTATATGTCACTATTCTTGAGAAAGGCCTCTACTGACCATCATCATCCACTCTTACAGGGAATGGGATAATTGAATGTTCATCCTTTGAAAGAACACGGCCCAAGAGGCCCTTTTATTCATCCCAACAAAGTGTGTCATGGTTTGATGAATTAGCTTGCTTGGACATGAGGCCCCTTGCGACGCACCCGATTTAATACCCAGCACAGGAACGCCTTTTTAACACGGTTGGTTACTTTTGACATCTGCCTGGGCCTGGCTTGAAAGTCCAACCGAGACGTGTCCTTTTTTGTGCTTCTCTCCCCTGTGAAACCATGTAAAACCTGTTGTTTCCCACTGCTCACGGATCGCAAAGAAAACAGCTGTGAGAGTCCGTCCGGTTTTGACCGCTGATCCTGAAGAAAAACAATGGATTCATCGTTCCAGAAGCGTTTCACTCTCGGGTCGCAAGCGACCGCCGGGGCTGGGGAGCCCCAACTCCGAGGGAACGACCAGGAGTGGTTTTTCAGGGTCTTAGACTCTGGGACCCTGGGGACATACCCCAAAGAATGAGATGATCTGATTTGGGAGGGATTTGGGTCCAGATTTGGGGAATGGTTTGGTCACCGCATATATTCCAGTCCGGGGTGTTGGGGTTATGGGAATTCCCCGACTGGCAAGAGATCCGGGACAGGCAGTCTCTTGCATGATTTGGTCCAAGCACAGAAGTGGGTGGATTCGCTCGTGGTACATCTATGATGCCCCATGCACCGCCGTCCAGTGATACTGGACAGCAGATTGACTTGAGGTTCTGCAGATCTTCTCTGCAGAACTTTAATATACTTTAATGCTAAAACGCAGTGCTTCCAATGGGGTGAACACTAGCTTTCTCCAGTCGGTGATGCCTGAAAATCTGGGGGTTCTGGAGAATTTTTGGCATCTAGCAAGACATCCTGGAATCCTGCATCCAATGACATAACTTGAAACTCCAATGTGTCTAAGAATAGAAGTCGCTCTTTCAATTTCATCTATCAACTCCTTGGTCGTATATTTTTTGAGTGTGTTTTGGTCAATCTACTGAGGAGCTCGCTTTGAATTTCTCTACGGCCCGGCACTCTGGAGTCGAATGCCATTCTGGGCCCACTTGGTGCCAACCTTCTTCGCGCAGTTCCACACGCCGCGCGGCGGGAACCTCCACCCATGCGCGTAATCTCGAAGGGTTGGGACGCGAGACGTGAGACGGGGTGCATGGCGGAGGGTGGGAGGACTGTCCACTTCTTGAAAGATTTGAACGGGGTGGTTCTGATGAAGTGGATGAAAGGAGTGGGAAGGCTACACCCAACCTGACATTTGCTCACCAAAGAGTTCGAGCGACATTATAACACTATGTCCATCTATATGTCCTATAATTGCGTGAAGAACTGCTTTTGGCACATGGGAAAAGACATCCTGTAAATAAATGAGACATGTCCCTGCTAAGGCCCGGTGGTTGAGTGGGCTAACTTGCGAGTCATTTATGATCATTTGCTGAGTTTGTTGGGTGACTCGATGTATATCCAGGTGGGATGCCTTGACACTCCTTATCCCCAGATGCAGTGAAGCATGGTATTATCCATGAGAAGCAGAGGACATATATGTTGGGATTCCACATAAAGGCTGAAGGAGCTGAAGCCGGATGGATGGATGGATGGATGGATGGATGGATGGATCGATGGATGATGCTCGTACCATGATGATCTATCCTCTTCATGAGATGAGTCCAATCAACCTCCTTCCCTTTGGGCCCTTCTTCAGCTTCTTGACGGTTAAACCCATAGCCCAAGAGGCGATATATGTGGAGTTCTGGCAAAACCCACCCTGCCTTTGGTCCAAAGCAGGGAGAACCCGCTGCTTGTTCCTCAGCGACCGCCCGTACCGACCGTCTCACCGGTACCGACCGACCCCCGCGACGCCATCGACTCGCTCCGCACGAGAAAAACGCACGGCGAAATCGGCAAGGCTTCTTTACATCATTTGCCTGTCGAACGGCTTGAGCTTTGCTGCTCGCCTCGGACGGGCCACGGGGCCACCGCTGTTTTCCGGCCCCGAAGTGCGAAGCTGTCGCTGTCGCCTTCCACCGAAAGGTCGATAGACGGTCGTCCCGTCGGACGGGGTGCCGGTTGACGTACAGAAGTCGGGGTGCCCATGGACTTAGCGGACTAAAGGACCACCCTTTTGGTGACTCCTGGTATAGGCACTCTTTGAGGACGAGTGATTTTGGCGCGTCGCGCGTAGGCCTTTTTCAATGTCTTTCGGGGGGATTTGGGGCAATGTTGGTGTTTGGCCTTCTCAGCGGGTGATCTTTGTAATTTGGCGGTGTTGTGGGAGATGCCACCAGAAAGGGCCGAAATGCAGGTAGTGACTTTGAGTGAAATGCACTGGAAATATCCACTCTTTTCTCACTGCTCTTCAATGCGAATGAATGCGCTTTCAAAATCATTCAAAATCAAACATGGACCCCCCCAAAGAAACTAATTAAGTATATCCATAGTCCATAGATGTGGTGATGTAGGATTGTTCTATGTTTGCGACTCTAAGGGGAACCAAACGAGGTCGTCCTCAATTTTCCAGAAAAAACCGGCGGCGTCAATTTGAGTTGCCTGTGAAGGTGGGATTGTCAAGAACAGCAGGGTCGAGGGCAGACAGTTTGACATCAACTGATATACGCTGATATATACATATATATATATATAATATACAGCATTGGATTTCGCAAGATCTACGGGTTGGCTTGAGCATCCGGAGGAATAAACTCTTCCATATTCCATGCCCTATATTTGCAGGCTGGCTCAATTATGGAGTGTAAGTCGCTTTGATCCACAGACCAACCGAATCCGCATGCTGACTATGAACCCTCAACGAGAGGCGATGTACGAAGGAGGAGAGGAGGAAAGCCTACAAGCTACCAAACTAGAAATGAAAGCACTTTGCTGATGTGTGCTCCCAATTGACAGCGAAGCATATATGAACCACTTCACTGCGCACAAGCTTGTGCGGGCTGTGAATTATAGCAATGCGAAGTACTTCGGCACTGGGTGTTTGCCTTTCAAACCGCATGACATCACAACAGATGATTGCAGCAACAGGTCCTGGTGATATCCCCAAGGCGAAAACAACCTTTGGAGCCGGCAACTTTTACTCCAAACTCAAACATCACCAGAAAACACATTCACCCAGACGCGAGAGGCACGAACCCTGCGTGTGCCCTTGGGGCCGTGCCGTGGAGGGGTCCGGACCGGAACCAATCCCGGGGTTGAGGGACCAAGGACTCCAAGGACTAGTCGGCCTGTTTGGAGCGTCTGGGCAAAACATTTCAATCACACAGACACCCTTTCAAAGCTGCTGAGGTTTTGGGCCTTTGCCATGACAACTACCAGGGTGTTAGCCGTGGCTTGCTCTGGTGGCCGATTGAGTCCCCCTCCGAGCTTTGTGTTGGTGAGTGAGGAGGGCTGCTGCTCTGCTGGGGGACTCTTTGGTTGGGTGTTGGGTGGTACTGGGGTCCTTTGTGCGACCGAAGACGCGTTTTGGACATGTCTTTCGAACGCTATCCGAGATCCTCGGAATTGTCGCCATGACACTGGTCTACATTACCAAAGAAGCATACTTGCCCGGTGGTTGGCTAGCTTTGACTTGTAACTTCAACTTAGACTTAGCCTTGCCTAATAGCCAACCACCGGGCAAGTACTTTTGGGTTTTAAGACGTGCAGATGTGCGTTGTTTTTTCTCGGCGGCCGACAGGCCGATCTGTGAACACTGTGACCCGCAAGGTGGTCGTGAACACATTGGACATGGTTGTTTTTTCCTATCATCCTATCATATCTATCATATCTATTCATATCTATCATTATCCATTATCCCAAACATGTTTCGCATCTCACACCAGTCCAGATGCGAAGAGTCTCTTGCAAGATGCGTTGGACCATCCTATACTTGGGGACCGCTGGCAGAGGGAAGGATTGGCACCTGGAGGCCCAAGGAGCCTCAATCGGGAGCCTCTTTTCGAGGCCCAAGGAGCCTTCTACCGATGTTTTCGATCAAATATGAGAAGCGAAGAGGTTTGTTAACCGACGCCTTGAACCCGAACTGGTCGACGCCCTGTTCGACCCAGCCATGGCAGGTACTGTTTGAGGCCCGGGAGGTTTTAGGCTTAGCCACCTTGGAGGTCTCAACCGGGCTGTGAGATAGTCACGGGACGGTATTTGGGTCACTCAACCCATCCACTTCAAGATCTTCATGGCCTACCCATGGCCTACCCTCTCCGCTCCCAGCTGTCCGCTCCCATCAGGAGATCCGACCCAACACGGCCCAGTGAGACATCCGCGGCCCCTGGCGTCGAGCCGGGCACGGTCCACGAACGTGTGCCGTGTGCGTCGGTGAAGCTCAGGGGTTGCAGAGAGGAATTTGGAGCTCACCGACCTGGGCCCTTTAAGATATTGAACACTCGCTGGCTGATGTTTCATGACCATTGCGATGTTCATAGATCAATCACCTTTGGATCAGATCGATGGCTGGAAGTATGTTAATGCAGGATCTCCTGTGCGATTTCCTTTGATATGAAGATACAACATGCATGTGAAATAGAACTATATAACATGATATAACAACATTCAGCACTATAAACCTATAAAACCAATGAGCCTGCCCCACGCTTCTGGCGAACTGCTCAATACTGCCACTGTTCTGGAGCCCAGAAACGGTGGGATTTCACCGCCTTCACTGCCGAACTCCTTCACCCGCACGTCGTCTCCGAACAGTTCGACCGAAACGGGGAAAAACGGCTTCGTCGACCGGGCGGCTGAGAGCCAGAGCACCTCTCCGACCATCCCCGACACCCTTGCCTCCGTCGGTCCGGCAGATCCGACGAGAGAAGTGACGAGAAGAAGTGGCAGACGAAGAGTGAACTGGTTTCTATAGGGAAAAGGCCTGTTTTCGGCTGGTGGTTTGCTGACGGAATCAGTCCTGTCCAGTAAAAGGTTGTACGACTTTAGAGGATTCCCTGGTCGTCGCTGGTATTTTGACAGGAGGGCACATGCAAAGAGGCAGATGGCGGCTTGAGCTGTCCTGAGTTAGAGGCAATCTGCCAACTTCAACCCGGACCCTCTATCAACTATCTTCGAGTTGCAAAGTACATCTTACATCATCTTACTGGGTTCAGAGTAAATGGTGCGAACCCATACTGTCAGAGGGATCCATAATGAAGCACCTATGATGCCTATGAAAAGGGTTTGTGCTAATACTCTGAATCTACTGTACACTCAATTGAGAGGTTTGCAATCCTCTAGCATCAAGAAACTCTCCTTTGGCTGCAGGGTATCAACGGAGTGTATCCCCACGTTGTCTGCGATTAGATCGAATCACTTCACCACGTTGAAAACGCGCTTTTTCTCGTCCTGCCCTGCCGGTCGACCGGGAACTTCACGGATCCGTGGAACGACCGGTCGACCATCTGGGGAGACGCTGTGCGTTAGCTTTCTCGGCGGTTTTTCCACGTAACGAGTCAGACGGAACGGAAGGATCAGGAAGTTCGAAGGATCAGGGAGCTCAACTTCATTTCAGTGTGGTGGCAGAAACTCGAACGGGTTGGTTTTGGTAGATGGAACGTTCCACATCGATCGCAGCCTGCCCTGATACCAAGGGCGGAGCTGCGACATATTTTGACCAGCGTTGAGTGGTTTGGCTGTTTGGACGGAATTGATGTTGGCAAGCTGTCGATGGCGAAGAGCGGACTCCAAGGTGTTGACAAGTTGGATCAGAAAATCAACTGTTCAAGAGAGAACACGAAGAGGACAAACCCATGTATGCTTTTTAATCTATTTTTTGTTTTCTTCGTGGTCGATGACCAGATACTGCACGTAATTGTTTGGTGTATGTTTCTCTCCATTTGGTCGATGACCCGATTGAAGAAAGGATCCAAAGGCCATCATGGCCGAAGAAATGGTGCGGAATGATGGTGGACAGGTTCCAATCCAGACCGAATGGTCTCAACCTCAGATCTGCCGGGTTCGCCACCAGAAGACTTGACTCCAAATGCTCCGGACTCACATGCTGAACACTCGCGCAAGGCTGGTTTTTAGCTCGCTTAGAGTGGTTTTTGCCCGCGGATTGGCGGTTTGGGCCAATGGTGCTGAGGAGGATTGGCTTGGACGGAGGGTGAAAGCAAAGAGGTTAGGCCGTAGGCCCATCAAGAAAGCATTTGCCCCACTGATGCTGCGAGAGTGCATGTCCACAAAAGTGCTCAAGCCCTCGCGGCCACAAAAGTGGCTACAAAGTCAATGATGCAAGCGAACCATTTTGCCTACAATTTCTGGGGCTAAGTTCTACTCCGTAGATTGACCCTTGGGGAGTGCAGCACCGCAGAATGGATGGATGGCAGTACTGCCTGCTGCTTTTCGAGGGGGGATGCCAACCATGGGGGTATGGCTTGCCCCAGATCATCCATGTACAGAAACATATACACATCTTCAACATGTTTTTGACCTTTTTTTGGGGGGGGCGGGTTAACTAGTAAAAAAAGTTTTCGCCCTATCTAGGTCACTAAATCAAACCAGGTCCCTACTCGACAACAGTGCTGTTGGCAGTTGGGCAGTTTTGTTTTGCTGCCGCATCCAGCTGCAGCTGTGGTGGCTCGCCATACCTGACAGCATGAAGCGCCAGTGTTGGCGATGGATCTACCGAAGGTATGGAAACCAGTCAGTGTCTTAGGGCCCAGGAAGACTTGTTTTCATTTTCCGTTCCTGGGTGATTGCGGCCGAGGATTGAACATCTGAAAATCCGCCTTCATCCCAGTCTTACATGTGGAGTTTCCCATTATATAGATCACCGATGGGCCCAGGTGAAGCAGAACTTTCTGCCATCCCCGATGCTACCGAAAGCGTCCAGTTCCTTGAAAGCCAAATCAAGATCGCGCTCGGGAGGCTTCTGAAAGACGAGGAGCCAACCCTTCATTCATTGTGGCATTTGGGTCTTGGAGTGTTTTGCATGAAACAATCCGCAGGCAAAAGAGCTGGAGGGAATGGTTCTTGCGGAACTTGCCTGGAAAAAAATAGATAAGGCAAGGAAAAGCATGGAGTGTGAAAGTGAAAATACCGAGCCACCAAAAAAAGAGACTTCGTAGAATGAATGCCAAGTATTTTGACGACTGCTAGCTATAATTCGTTCATGAAAAGCATGACCATGTCATTGAGCTCCCTTTGACCGCTCTTTTGTGTGGTGGGGGCACAGTCACAGGCCCATAATTCAACTGGCAAACTAGCATGCCGTTGTGGTCTCCCAAAAGGCCGAACTGCGAGCTCTTGTTTGTCGCTGTGTGTTTTGATGGTGTGGAATAAGCTTTTCGTTGTCATTGAGGATGTGAAAGGTTTTGGGTTCAATAGGTTCAATAGCTAGAGCCGGGACTTGGAGAGCAGCCCTCCATGCCACCGCACTCCTTGCCCCCCATCGCGGCCCTGAGTGACAGTGAGCCCACGCCTCAGACATGACCGCTCTGTCTCAAAGCATTGGTGCCACACAGCCTCACAGGTCAGAATGGAGCTTTGTTTCCCGAACAGCGCCATCAGCCACTATCCCAGGGTCTTGATTGTGGCCAATGCTTGCCCATTGTAACGGCTATCCGTTGAGTCGAGGTGCAAAATAGCTTTTCAGGAGCAAAAACAGTTCGAAGGACCATCAAAAAAGACTCCCAGGCCGGTCTGTTTGTTTTGGGCCAGATCTTGGCATTTAACGGTCGGTCTTGCCTTGAAGGAGAAGCTTCCACTCTTTGCAGCCCTTGGCCGGCTGAACAAGAAGGGTCCTTTTCATTTGGTAGAGATGAAGGTTGGGCAAAACCCGGGGTACAATGTTACAAGACTGAATTGTTGGGAGGTCAAACCGCCAACAACCCAAAAAATTGACGCTTGTGGTAGTCTGAGGCTCAGACTACAAAGAAGTTCAACCTTTTAGTATTTTGTATCTCCATCTCAGGTCTCCGAGAACAACAAGTCATCGAAGACTGCCAGGGCAGGAATGAAATCGGGAGTTTTCTTTGGACGGAAAACCTTCAAAGCCTGGCCAGCTCTGCGCCAGTTACTGAGAGACTTGTTTTGGATGAGCCACCAACTGATTTCTTTGAAATGACTGTAGGTTGCTTTGGGGCGTGCCTGCGCGTCACTGCAAATGCCGTGACCAATCGTGGCATCAGCGCCCTATACTTAGACTTGAGAAGATTTTGTGGGGTGGTGCACACAGCTGCTCGTACTCCAAGGATCTCGCCAATGTGGTGAGGTTCTCCCAGGACTATACAGACAGCTTGGGTTCCAAAAAAGCCTGGAACCTTTCTTTCAGCTGAAGTATGTGAATGGTTCTCGGGTTGGGGCCTCATCAACATCAAAGTGGACCGGAGGAAAGAACGTGCTTGAGTGAGGCCTTCCAAAAGGATGGACTTCACCGAAGCAATCTGCCGTGAATCCAGAACACTTCAAGTTGGCATTCCCCAATATCCACCAGAAGGCGTGGATGTGATGCACAACCCATCTGTGGGTGGAGTTGAAGTTTTTGTAGGAGAATAAGTGGCCCATGGTGTCAACCTTCACCGGAGTCGGAGGATTAGACCTTGGACTCAGTGAGTGTGGATCCAAGCTTCATCTCACCACTGTCCACACCCAAACAAGGATTCAGCCTTGCCTTGACTCAGGATCATGTTTCCGACATTGATGGCCATGGCCTTGCAGCTAACTGCTTGCGTCTCTCATGTTCTCTCTCTCTCTCTCTCTCTCTCTCTCTCTCTCTGTTCTACTAACCCTCTTCTAGCACAAATGTTTGAGGTGGAGAATCATCCATTTTGCCGACGTGTGTTGGCTGCCCGACAAGCGGACAAGCTCTTGCCAAAGGTTGAGATCCATGAAAATGTGGAAACTCTGACTGGGCGCAAGGCTCGTGCATCAGGTGCCAAAGGCCTTGGAGGAGGCTTCCCTTGCCAGGCCTGTCGCAGATTGTAAAACGTTTTCCAAACTTCGCAGCTCGGAGCTGGACAATCTAGTTGGGGGAGCAGCGAGAGGACCATGGAGTAGGGATCAAAAGGATTCAAAAGGTGTGACAAACATGTTGTGTTGATACTCTTCACCTGTTTGTCCTTCTCTATGTTTTTGAGCAGCCCGACAGAATGAGCCCTTAGAGTCAAGACCCGAGCTGTTCTTTCGAACCCTGCACAGCTACTGTCCTCCATCGCGCCAGGGGGGTGAGTGGAGCCGGCAAAGGCCTCGGCTTGTTGGACCACAGATCGAGCCTCGTGCGTCACATATTTCGAGTGGCCTCAGAGATGGGGCCTGATGCGCACCAGTCTTAGGATGTGTCAGCACTTATGCACGTTTAGTCTTTCTACATTTTTTCTCTACCAAAGTCCGACACCTGTCGTGCGAGGAAGTTCGTTTTCATGGAGAATGTAAAAGGTCTCCTCGCCGTGGATCAACGAGCACTCTTGTGGTTTATCATGCAGGAGCATAGTCAAACTGGCCAGCTAGTAGTTATGTTCAAACAGTAGTCCTATTTTCTGGGCCTTAGGTCAGGAAGAGGGGAATGGCAGGCATAAGTATCAACATGAATGATTCACCATGACTCAACTGCGTGATGTTGGATGATGTTGGATGCGAAAGGATAAGTGAGCAACAGCAACAGTTCAATACTTATGATGATGATGACAAGCTTATAACTGAAACTACAGCACTCATGAAGCACCAACATTTGACGCAGGAGTGTCTTGATCTCGGATTTCAGATCAAGTGGGCCACCCTGCAGCTTCGCCACGTGGGACTTGCAGCTTGCCTGGCATGTGTTTAACCAACCACTGAATGTGCACAGTACACCTGCAAGCGCGCACCAACACAACTGTGGGGATGAAGTTTCAACTTAAGACCTTAGCGGATCAT